ACAAAAGAATGAAACTGGACTCCACTGTCTGAAAGACAAAAATCAACTCAAAATGGATTAAAGGTTTGAACATAAAACATAAAACCCCTAGAAGACAACATAGGAAGTAAGGTCCTTGTCTTACAGTGATTTGGGGTTTACCAAAAGTAAAATCCTCAGAATAGGAGGAAATATTTATTGTATATTATTTTTCTATTACATTTTTCATTCAATATTATTTTACAAAAACATGGATAGATCTTCAGGGCATTATACTAAATGAAATAAGCCAGACAGAAAAAGATAAAAACTACATGTTATCACCTATATGCACAATCTGGAAAAAACAACCAAAAAAAACTTTTTAAGTCAAACTTATAGAAACAAAAAAATAGAAAAGTGGTTGCCAGGGACTGTGCAGTGGAGGAAATAAGAAAAGGCTGGTAAAAAGGTACACATTTTCTCATCTTAAGATAAATAAAACCTAAGGCTCTAATATAAAACATGGTTACTAGAGTTGATAATACTATTAAATATTTAAGATTTGCTAAAAGAGAACTTAAAATGTTCTCACAAAAGAAAAGATAAATAGGTAAGGTGATAGATATGTTAATTAATTAGATGGTAGGAAACCTTGCACAATGTATCCTATGTGCTGTGTCTGTTTGTTCTACTGTTCAACCAGTCACTATGACATGCACTGACCACCAGGAGGCAAATGCTCCGACTTGTAGGTTAGCTTGCTGTTAGGGTCCAGCCAATCAGGACTGGGTGAGACGGGCCAAACACACCCTGGAGCCCTCCTGCAATCCCTCCCCAGCCCCAATCATGCACCATTGGGGTCCCTCGGCCTGTCCTGCACCCTCTCGCAATTCAGGACCCCTTGGGGGATGTTGGAGAGCCAGTTTTAGCCTGATCCCTACAGGTCAGGCCAAGGCAAAATAAAAGAAATAAAGACTAAAAAGACAACAAAAAGCTAAATGAAACTAAAAATTGATTTATTGAAAAGATAAACAATGCACGAATCCATGTACCAGGCCTCTAGTGTGTATATAAAGTCACTATGATATACATACACTTTTAATATATTACAGTTTTATGTGTCAATTATCCTATATAATGAAAGAGTAATATGCAAATCAACCATAACCAGTCGCAATGACACACACTGACCACCAGGGGGCAGACACTCCACACGGAGGCTGCCCCATGGTGGTCAGTGAGCTCCTCCAGGGGGAGTGCCACTCAGCCACAAGCCGGGTTGATGGCTGGCGAGCACAGTGGCCCACCTCCACAGCAGCACTAAGGATGTCCAACTGTGGCTTAGACCCGCTCCCTGCAGAGAGCGGGCCTAAGCTGTCTTTTGGGCATCTCCCCAAGGCTCCTGGACTGTGAAAGGGCACAGGCCTGGCTGAGGGATCACACCCCCGCCTCAAGTGCACGAATGCTGTACACCGGGACTCTAGTACCTCTATAAAGCTGAAAACGTTTTTTAAAAATCACATATATATGGAACTTCTTTTAAAATAACTTATTTGTTCATTTTAAAATGTCCTAAACAGCTATTTTACATTGCATGTTTTTATTTATATCTGTGGGTAGCAGGAATTCCTACAAAAACATCATGATAGCCCTGGCCGTAGCTCAACTGATCAGAGCATCAACAGTACACCAAGGTTGTGGGTCCAATCCCCAGTTAGGGCACATATAAGAATCAACCAGTGAATGCATAACTAAGTGGAAAACAAATCATTGCCTCTCTTTCTCTCTCTCATCAATTTAAAAAGTTTTTTAAGAGTAAATGAAGATACTGTTTTCTTGAGAAGAAATAAAAAAAAGGATAAAGAAACCTTTCAGGGTTCCCAAGATTTAAAAATATAGATATTTAAAAAGATATTTCCCATCAAATAAAATAAAGCTAGGATAGTAACATTTGCTTCATATTAGAAAATGTAACAAGTGGAGTTGAAGGAGGCTTATGGAGCAAAGTAATGTATTACAAAGAATAGATTCTCGCCAGTGACTTACCATTTAGTCATAGATAAATTTGTTCCCTAACCTACTCTAAATATCAAAAAGAGAAAGCCATATTATTGAAATGTTGTGATACTTTGCAGAACAAAGAAACATAAATAACTATCTCATAATTTATAGAAAAGTATTCAAGTATACATAACAATACTAAAATATTGATGACATGACCCATTTATCTTGACAGCCTCAAAGTGAATCAAATATATTTTTCATAGCTATGATAAGTATACACATGTAGAAATAACAGACATACTATTCTTCATATATGTTGTTCCCATTCAAGCTAGTTTGAAAAACAACAAATTCTATTGGTGAGCTTGATTGGGGAAAAAATAACACTTCTTTTTCTATATTCTGAAAAGTTGCAAAGAAATGCCCCAATAATTCTAAATACGGTGGCCAAATATCCATATTTCCCTACTGTGTGCATAGGTTAATGTGTTCCATGAATGTTACCTAACTGTATTTAAATTAAAAACTAAGCAAGCATTATAAGAGGAATACAGGGAGCCAGCACAAAGCAAGAGGTAAACTATCAGATTCCCATATGAAAGAGGACCATTTAATTTCTTTTTTATATATGTTTTTATTGATTTTTAGAGAAAGAAGAAAGGAGAGGGAGCAAGAGAAAAAACAAACAAACAAACATCAAAGTGAGGGCAAAACATCGATAGACTGCCTCTTGCATGGACCCTACCAGTGATGGCGCTCACAACCTGGGCATGTGCCCTGAGAAGGAATTGGACCAGCGATCCTTCGAAGCACAGCACAGTGCCAAACCAGCTGAGCCACAACGGCCAGGGCAGGACCATTTAGTCTCAGGTGCTAGAAACTAGTAATGCATTTAAAATAACTCTCCATTCAGCCACAAGCTGAGCTTCCTGAGAAAGCACAGGAAGGCTTCGGAAGGTTGGAGTACATGCCAAAGTTTGCAAACCAGCTATCAAAAATGACCTCATGTGACTTCTACATGAATCATCACAAAGGATAAGGCAGAATTTAAAAAGTCAATTGCAATTAAGTTGAAAATAAATCAACTTAATAGCTGCTGCAAAATCCTATTCAAATCTCCCTTCTAGCCATATGTCTACTTTGAAGCTTTTCGTTATCATGCATTACTATTTCCCCTACTGCAAAGTATCTACACAACAGGATCCAAAATAGTGAAAAGAAAGCAGGGAGCAAAAACCGAGAGCAAAAACTTTCCAGTCCTACAAAATACTTACTTAATTCCTTGTTCTTTGAAATTTCATAAAAATGTTGCTTTCTGAGATCATGAGCTAGAAGAAGTCTAAAATCAAGACCAAAATTAAGGGGTCTTTCTACTAGGGATGGGTGAGTAGGGAAGAGGTGGTTGGGCGAAGACTGCAAAAGCCAATGATAGAAAAATCTACTGTAAAGACACTAAAACTTGAGAATTTCTACATTGGCTTTCTCATGTCCTTGCTCCCCACAGCTGCTTTTCCCCAACCTACTTGATAAAATTCAAATTGTAGAACAACTGATAATCTACAAAATCAATTTTCTAACAGCCATCATTGACAAACTATTGCCCAAACTAGCTGAACAGTTGAGCTCTGCCTAATCCCTCCTGCTAAAGCCCTATAAAAAATTCTGCCTTCCCCAAGTTAGAACTCTCCTCCAGAGCATTTTCTATTACAGGCTTATGCTGACAGTACCCTGGTTAACTTTCTTTCAAACTGGGACAAGTTCCAAGAGGTTAACACAGCAGTAATTTGCTTCTTGATGGGCTCCAAGGTAATAGTGGGCACTATTTCTGTATGCATATAGACTCACTAGGGAAATAGGCAATAGAAAAGTGAAGTCTCCAGTGGTCATTTTAAAAAATGCATAAAGACAAAGACAAACATTAACAGACTACCTCTACTGCTTCACCCTTTTATATAATTTATTCTTTTTAATCCTCACTACAACCCTTGGATAAATATTCTTATGTTCATTCTTCAGATGGGAAATCAGAAAGTTAGACAGTAAATTTTATATGTTATGCATATTTTATTACAATAAAAAAGTATGATTGCAATAATCGCCAAAAACTAGAAACTCCCCCAAATATCCATCTGGTGAATGGAAAAGCTAGCTGTAGTATAGCCACACAGAGAAACTCTACTCAGTAATAAAATAAAATAAAGAATTACTAGTATGCACAACATAGATGAATCCAAATTCATTATGCCATATTTTAAAAGCTACATACTAAATGATTCCATTTAAATGACATATTGGAAAAGATAAACTATAGCCCCCCCCCCCAAAAAAAAAAAAAACATTAATGTTTCTGGGGATTGAAATGGACATAAGTGAATTTGGAAAATTATGGTGATAATTATATAATTGTCAACTCAGACTGAACACTAAATACAAATAAAAATTTTAATGTGTGACTAAAATCTGTATAAGAATGAAACCTTTAAAAGTCAGCTATGTCAAAAATTTAAAATGAGCCCTGACCGGTGTGGCTCAGTTGGCTGAGCATCATCCTGAAAGGTCACTGGTTCGAATCCCAATCAGGGCACATACCCAGGTTGTGGGTTTGATCCCCAGTGGGGGATGTGTATGGGAGGCAGCTTAATGATATTTTTCTCTCTCTTTCCCTCTCTCTCCCTTCCATTCTAAACATCAATAAAAGTATTTTTTAAGATGAGTTTTTAAGCACCAAATATACCACACAACACCAAAAGTACAATGTACTATATTCACCCACAACTTGTTTCATCCAGCCCCTTACTTTAAAGTATAAAACTATTACATATTAAGTAAAATGTTTTTCATTATATGCACTGCACATCTCACATAGTAGGTAGTCAGAAGTGTTTACTAATACACAATTCAATAGGGTTTCAATCCACTTGGCCTTTCTACTTCAATGGTACATACATATGTAGCTTTAAACACAAAATTATTCATTTCTCAAAATATTAACATATACTTGGCACAGGTAAGTGCTATGCATAAAATGTACTAACCTGAATTTGTTCAATTAATCAATAAGGGCAACAGAGCATGTTGTCTTGTGTTAAGAGTGCTCTAAGGCAAAAGCTGTGACCTAGAATAAAAAAAATAGACAAAATTCAGCCCTACTCAAATTTTAGCCTTATTATATAGCTTTTTAATCTTTTTTTTCTTTCCTTATGTAGCCAATCCTGACATGTAAACTTTACATTCAATTTTTTTTTTACAAACAGTGCTTTTCATATCTCAATAAGGAATAGACTTTCATTTTGCAAATTACAGTTCAATTGCAGTAACATTCAGTGTCTTAATCTGTTTCATAGTTCACCTTAAAATAAGTTGACATCTATACAACTTGCTCAGGGAATACAAAATTCTTTCATTTTGTCTACTTTTTTAAATATAGAGCAATCTGAAACGACTCTTCTTTCAAATTAATGTTAACATTTTTCTATATCCCCACACTCCGATTAGCTGTGCACCCTAATTTCTGACTATCTTCTACACACACTTCCATTCAAGTCAATTTAATTTGCTTGCTTTCCACAGAACTTTATCATTCTCACCTGCGACACACCATTCCTTCTTTTTAAAACAGAGACTTTTTCTCCCTTATCCTCTTTGTCAATCAATGCACATCAGTCAACTTTCTCAAAATCCAGTCCCTCCATTCCTTCCTGAGCTGATATAATCATTCTGTGTACTCCATTAATCCTTGCTGGAATATTTTGCTACATTATATATGTATAATCTCGTTTGATGGGAGGACCTATCTCCTTTTTTTTTGTCTTGTTACCTCTCCATTGTCTAAGCATAATACCCATCAACAAATTTTATCTAGGCCTCTCATATTTACTATGACCTAGCCAAATAGTATTAAACTGAAGCATTTGTAACTAAGACAAATTTTTCTCACAAACCATTTTCAGTGTCCAAGGCCAGGAACATATTCTCTCTCTCTCTCTCTCTCTCTCTCTCTCTCTATCTATCTCTATCTCTATCTCTATCTCTATCTCTATCTCTATCTCTATCTCTCTCTATTTTATTGATTTTTTTACAGAGAGGAAAGAAGGATAGAGTGATCACATAAATGAGAGAGAAACATCAGTTGCCTCCTGCACACCTCCTACTATGGATGTGCCCACAACCAAGGTGCATGTCCTTGACTACAATAGAATCGAACCTGGGACCTTTCAGTCTGCAGAGTGATGCTCTATCCACTGAGCCAAACCAGTTAGAGTGGAACATTATTCTTTTTCATTGTGCTTGGTTTGTTAACCTGAAAATGGACTACAAACATACTATACTAGTTAAGTTTTCATTTATATCATCAAGTTCATAAAAGAACAGTTATCAAATTAATTTACATTTTAAGGTTTCTACTTCACTTTCATTTAAAATAACCTTGTAGCTCAGTATAGGCCATTGATAAGCTATATTTGAATTTCAGAAGTATACATTTCAAAACTGTACTATTTTGCTCTGGCTTATGTGGCTCAGTTGGTTGAGCTTTGTCTCTTGCAGGTTCAATTCCAGGGTTGGAGCATATCCTTAGTTGTGAACTCAATCACCAATAGGGGGCATGCAGAAGGCAACCAATGGGTGTCATTGATGTTTCCCTCTCTCCCTCTCGCTTCCTCTCACTCTCTCTAAAATCAATAAAAACATATTTTTTTAATGTTTATTATTTCATAACAGGAAATAAAAATTTAACCAACAACCCCATAAAGTAAGACTTCCTACCAAAGCAAACATCCACTTAATAAAAGAGTACTATGCCGAAACCGGTTTGGCTCAATGGATAGAGCGTCGGCTTGGGGACTGAAGGGACCCGGGTTTGGTTCCGGTCAAGGGCATGTACCTTGGTTGCGGGCATATCCCCAGTGGGGGATGTGCAAGAGGCAGCTGATCGATGACTCTCTCTCATCAATGTTTCTGGCTCTCTATCTCTCTCCCTTCCTCTCTGTACAAAATCAATAAAATATTAAAAATAAATAAATAAATAAATAAATGAGTACTGTGAAAATTAACCATCACTCCTTTACACCCACAAGCCACGCCCACCAGCCACGCCCACCAGCTCATCAGAGCAACTATGCAAATTAACCCCAACCAAGGTGGTTGCTACCACAGAGAGCCAAGTTTTCCGCCTGCCATTGCTGACCTAAGCCTCCACTCAAGGCTACAAAGTTTCAATTATAGAAGGTAAATAAATTCCAGATACCAGGGCCTCTGCTTGGGTCGCCAGGGGGCATGGCTGGCCAGCAAACCACCACAGGCCCCTCACTTAGGCCACCCCACACCCCAAGGGAACCCCCACTTTGATTCAGGACACTCTTCAGGGAAAACCAGCCAGCCCCCACCTGTGCACCAGGCCTCTATCCTATCTAATAAAAGAGTAATATGCAGATTGACCATCACTCCAACACACAAGATGACTGCCCCCATGTGGTCAAAGATCCTGCCCCTATGTGGACACAAGATGGCCACCACAAGATGGCCAGCAGGGGAGGGCAGTTGGGAGGCACCAAGCCTGCAAGGGAGGGCAATTGAAAGGGACCAGGCCTGCAGGGGAGGGCAGTTGGGGGTGATCAACCCTGAGGGAAGGGCAGTTAAAGGTGACCAGCCTGGCAGAGGAGGGAAGTTGGGGGCAAATAGGTTGGCAGGAGAGCAGTTAGTCATCAATCAGGCTGGTAGGGAAATGGTTAGAGGTGATCAGGCTGGCAGAAAGAAATGGTTAGGGGCAATCAGGAAGGCAGGCAGGCAAGAGTTGGGAGCCAGCAGTCCTGGATTGTGAGAGGGATGTCCAACTGCTTGTTTAGGCCCAATCCCAGTGGGTAGTCGGACATCCCTTGAGGGGTCCCAGATTGGAGAAGGTGCAGGCTAGGCTGAGGGACACCCTTCCTCCCGCCTCCAAACATGAATTTCGTGCACCGGGCCTCTAGTTACTATATAAAATAATTTTTAAAATAAATAGCACATTATTTTATTCATTGTTTTTACATACATTGATATATAAGACTTAATAAATGTTTTTATATGCACTGTAAAAATGGGAAAAAATATCTCATATGTAAAAATAGGCAGGCCACCATGAATGAACAGGTGATTCCAAAACCTATTCAGAATTCAGAATGCATTTTCCTTTTATATGAAAGCAATGCTAAAAATGGTTAATTCTGTTCCCAGACCAGCCCACAATTAAATAATAATTCATCATCTATACATAGCTACCATTTGTAAATACAGGAAAATGTGTGTGTGCATGTGTGCACGTGTGTGTGTGTTTACACGCATGCATGCACCCATGTGTGGGGGGTGGAGGGAGGTAGTAATATTCTGAGTTCCAAACTGTGGCTTCAAGAATATATTTGCCTCCTTGTTTGTCAGTGAGAGCAGAGATGTCCTGACACCCATGGTAGAATTGCAGCCTTGCAGAGAGGCAGGTTTTCAGCAAAGATTAATTAATAGTACCTGTTAGAAAATCTGATCACAGAAGAGAAAGCATTCCTCTACATAGGAATCACTCCCTCCACAAATTCTATTCTATAGAGCCCTTAAATCAAAGACTATTTGAATACAAAATAGCAGGTGAGGAGAGTATTCTATGAAAGTATACTAAGTCATAAATAAAAGAAGAAATTTTTAGAATATCACTACTTTGCAACCCCCAATGAATTACTGGTTCTAGGCATTAAATATCGTTAATTCCTAATATCACATACACCAAAATAAAAACCTCAAAGCAGATATCAAGTATGTGCACACAACACAATCTACATACGGACTTGACAAAGAAATCACACCTAATTCTAATCAAGCATCTGGATCCTCAGGAAAATCTACAGGACACACAGAGAACAGAGTGACATGCTGAATTGCACCATTAGTATGCAATTAGCAGAATCCAAATTGTAGGAAGCTCTACAACTCGAACAGTCCAGGGCTCAATATCTAAACTATAAAGGGAAAGAACGAGATGAGAAGGGGAGTCTTACAGATTAAAAGGCAGTTATGATTGGGATGAGCACATGGAAAGCTGTTGGGGCAGCTGGCAAAGTTCTGCTTCTTGACCGGGATGGTAACTGTATTCATTTTATAATACATTTCTTTTGTGTGGTTTTCTAAACCTGTGCTTTATTTTACAATAAAATGTGTTTGTTTGTTGTTGTTTTAAAAAGAGACAGAGAATCCTGAGCCTAATAGAGATAGTGGTAGCAACCATTTCTGTTGGGACTTGGTATGTATCTTCTATCATTGAAACTTTGTAGCCTTGAGTGGAGGCCTAGGTCAGCAAAAGCAGTCGGAAAGCTTGGCTTCCTCCATTGCTTGGGAAACCCAAGCTTTCCTCCTGTTCTCTGTGGACGTAGCCATCTTGGTTGGTTTTATTTGCATATTTGCTCCTGATTGGCTGGTGGGCATGGCGTGTGGGCATAGCAGAGTGATGGTTAATTTGCATTAGCAACAAGGAGAATTGTTGCTAATGTCTTACTGTGCCAAATTTATAAATTAAAATTTAGAGGTATGTATGTTTAGGAAAAAACATAGTATAAGTAAGGTTTGGTACTATCTGAACCAGTGATCTGTTCTTTATCACTATGGTGATAAAAATATTTTCAAAAATGTCATATAAATGGAATCAATGCGTTTTGACAATTAGAATAGAGCTGCTATAAACATTCAGCTACTAGTTTCTGAGGTAACACAGTCCCATTTTTCTTGAGCAAAAAACTACAGGTGGGATTTCTAGGTTTTATACTAAATATGATTGACTTTATAAGACACTACCAAACTATTATCCAAAGTAGATATACAATTTTGCATTCCCATCAGCAACATGTAAGGGTTTCAGTTGCATCATTTCCTTGCCAGTTTGGTACTGTCAACGTTTTTTTGTTTGATTGTTTTTGTTTTGCTATTCCAGTGGTCGGCAAACTCATTAGTCAACAGAACCAAATATCAACAAGTATAACGATTGAAATTTCTTTTGAGAGCCAAATTTTTTAAACTTAAACTTCTTCTAACACCACTTCTTCAAAATAGACTCACCCAGGCTGTGGTATTTTGTGGAAGAGCCACACTCAAGGGGCCAAA